ATTTGGAATTGTAGGCACTGCTTGCAATGCAGTCTGTCACCGATATGTTTGCTGGAAATGGATAACAAGATTTAGAGACCTAGAGAGAATCAAATTAACCTTGCCATAAGTCTCATTTATTCTCTTAAGTGGAGGGGAAAGATAAATTAGTTTTTGTACTTTCAAAGATGCATTTTAGAAAACCAAAAAATTATCAAATTACTATACTAGTACACTTAAAACCACTGTAATTTATTTAACTAAGCTACATGTTAAGAGCAAAGATCCTGTACTGCCTCAGACAGATGCTCAAATGTGGTAGGATTTCAGAGGTAATGAGAAGGAAATGAGTGTCTGAGACTTTGGAGGAGGAGGAGGGAGGAAATGGATGACAAATCACTGGGATAAAACCTGAAAGACCTACAGATTCCTGGTGAATTCTCAACATAGATGAACAAACTGGGATAAATGAGCCTCCACCAGACTGGAGCCCACAGGGTAGTCACAGATACTGTTGGTGGCACAATACTCGACTTTTAATAAAACAATGAAAAGAAAATCCCCTAGTGGAAGGAACGGGTAAGAGTTGGGAAGAATTAGGATGGGGAACAGAAATAGGGGATGTTCGAGACTCCATATGAGAGAAATGATCAACCAATGAGGAAAGAGTCAATTGCTGTCTCATAGATTCCACTCAGGATCCCAAAGCCACTGGAAGATCTCCAGTGTCAATTGCTGTCTCATAGATTCCACTCAGGATCACAAAGCCACTGGAAGATCTCCAGTGTCAATTGCTGTCTCATAGATTCCACTCAGGATCACAAAGTCACTGGAAGATCTCCAAACACCAACCAATGGAGAAATAGGGCCAACCATAAGTCTCCATGATAAGAACATGGCTAACTAATGTGGGACAAAACTGCATCTCTCCCCAAAAGATCCCAACAATAGAGGAACCATGTGTATATAAAAAAAAGAGCTGAAGTCAATAAACGTGCCAACAAGAATGTAATTAAGCTAAATGTATCCCCCTGAGATACCCTCAGGACCTCAGTGGATTGCCTCGGAGAGGAAATGTATGTTGGACAAGTACCATAAGATAGATGTAAGGGTAAAATGAAGGTGATAAAATTGGGCATGGGACAAAATAACAAAACAATCAGGGTCTGCCCCCAAACATGTAAAATGGATTCCAGATGCTGAGAATCAAGGGATGGAAAATCAGCCTGATGGTAGGCTAAAGCAATCTGATCCAAAGCCCACAGAGGGTGAGGCATGTTTGTACCATCACGTAACTGAGATACAAAATACTCAGCATGAACCCCAATATCAGGAAATGATGGAAACACAAAATACTAAGAAGAAGAAGAAGTATCATGTAACAATGAAGGTAGAGGATTATAGGAAATTGTGGAAATGGATAAAACATAACATACATGGGAAATCATGTCCTGAAAGCTGTATTAGGCCAAACAGAACCCACAGTAAGAACATGGTAAAACAAGGCAAATTCAGGTGTAGTAAAAAGGCTGTCAAATGCATTGTCATCCCAAACAGGTTGGACTTGTTCAGGAGGAAGTTGGGCAACATCAGGAGATGAAGGTTGGCTTAAATAACAATCAATCTCTCAACAAATAATTGCCAATAATTCCAAAGTCGAGTTACCCCCACCTGAAGTCTGAGTAAATATGTTGATAGAAGGTATAACCTCCAATGTGGTAACTTGCATTTCAGAATTCATAATGCAAACCAAACAAAACTGTTTAGGTAAAGAAAGAAAAGCATGTAAAAATTATTAAGTTCCATAACTGGATAGAAAATTAAATAATACCACGACAAAATGAGGTACAAATAACAACTATTTAAAATAAGTAGGAAAATAAAGAATACCAAAATTCAAAATTCGAAGAGAGTGCTAAATAAAATGTCTAAACACAAGCACT